GAGAGACATGGACATGCTGGAGAGAGTCCAACGAAGAGTCATGAAGATGATTAAGGGACTGAAGCGTCTCTCCTATGAGGAAAGGCTGAGAGAGCTGCGACTGTTTAGCCTAGAGAAGAGAAGGCTCATGGGGCAATCTAAATGTATATAAATTCCTGAAGGAAGAGTGCAAAGATGACAGAGCCAGGCTCTTTTCAGTGGTGCCCAGTGACAGGATTAGAGGCAATGGGCACAAACTGAAGCACAGGAGGTTCCGTCTGAGCATCAGGAAACCCTTTTTTACTGTGAGGGTGACTGAGCACTACAACAGGTTTCCCAGAGAGGTTGTGGAGTCTCCGTCTTGGAGACATTCAAAAGCCATCTGGACATGGACCTGGGCAACTGGCTTTTGGTGGTCCTGCTTGAGCAGGCGGGTTGGATCAGATGACTTCCAGAGGTCCCTTACAACCTCAGCTATTCTGTGATTCTGTGAAATTATCAGCATTCCAGTACACCCATTTTACTATAGCACAGCAACACCATACATTTTCACATTTTCCTACATAATACGTTTTTTCCTGTAAGCTTTGACATTTATTTTTGCAGTTTCTGACAAGTTGTTCTGCAACATGTAAATGTTAACTTTGATGCGATTGCTCTAGACAACCAAGAACTTTCGCCTTCAGATGTGGAACATTGACAAAAGACAGTTAGAAATGATCAGAGTGTTTTCATGCTTTGTAAACATGTTCTCAGACTTGTCTTTCAAGATTATATAAGTATCTGTAAAAAACCAAGAAAATGTTATGTTCTCTAAAGAAACAATTGTGTCTGAATGAAATAAAAGTTCCTTGAAATATAACAAATGTTTTTAGAGCCAGTTAACTGATTTAAAAGCAAATGTATATGCACTGACAACATATAAATTGTCAGTGTTGCTCAGATGACATATCTTGCATACTAACCCATTATTTTTTTTAATATGATAACAGTCAACTGTTCTTTTTCCTCTAATTTAACAGAGACTTTGAAAAATAATACCCTGTTGGATGTATTACTGCCATCACAGAAAGAGACTAAATCACCCTTATGTCACATTACAGTAGAGACTAAGTCACCTTTATTGCTAACCCAGCTGGAGTTAGCTGCTCAGTGTTTCGTTCATTCAAACAGTCTTCCCCCATCAAAGAATTGAGATGCTGCATGCATTCTGCATGTGCCTTTGATGCTGCTACATGCAACAGATTGTTGTCACATTCATCATGTATCTTATCCAGATTATCTGCTGCTAAGTATGGCTGTTCAAAAAGAAATGGTTAAAAAAGTCATTATATTAGTTATAATTAGGGATAAAACATACATAGAACATTAAGCCTCACAGCCTAAGATGCAAGCCAAAGTCAAAGATATTTTCCCATAGGCATGTTCTTTTATAACTCTCAAAAACAGGAGCTTTTCACTTCCTTATACAGTATCTGGCTACTATTAGAGATAGGATAGAGAGGTAGGATGCTCACTGGCTTGAGTCACTGCGTAGTTTCTCTCTTTCCAATGCAATTGTCATATAACTATTGTCGTATAAACTAGACCTGAAGGGGGAAGGGGATAACATCAGGCTCGCCCATGACAAGCCATGGGACGACATGCCAAGGTTAGAGGGATGGGGTGCTAGCAAGGGCCCTCAGCCTGTTGCTCTGAGATGTTCTAGGTACACTGCAGCACACCTGAAGTCTTATGGAGATGAGCCTTGGGTTCCTGAGGTAATAGCAGCCAACAGGGAAACACCAGGGAAATACCTCAAAGGAATTAAGGGGTGTTCCTCTAAAAAGGTGACATGGCCAACAGCACAGCTGAAGTGCCTCTACACCAATACACGCAGCATGGGCAAGAAACAGGAGGAGTTGGAAGCCACCATGCTGCTAGAAAGATACGACCTACTTGCCATTACTGAAACTTGGTGGGATGAATCCCGTGACTGGAGCATTGCTATCAATGGCTACAAGCTGTTCAGAAGGGACAGGCGAGGAAGAGGGGCAGAGGGGTTGCCCTCTACATCAACAAATGGATAGATTGTGAAGAGCTATCTCTGAAGAATAGCCACGAGCAGGTTGAAAGCTTATGGGTAAGAATTAGAGACCAAGGCAACAAAGGGAACCTTGTGGTTGGTGTTTTACTACAGGCCGTCTGATCAAGGGAAGCCTATTGACGAAGCCTTCTTACTCCAGCTACAGGAGGCATTGTGCTCGCAGGCTCTCATTGTGCTGGGGGACTTCAACCACCCTGACATCTGCTGGAAAAGTAGCACAGCGAGCTGTAGGCAATCCAGGAGACTCCTGGAGTGCATTGAGGATAACTTCTTAGGCCAGGTAATAGACAGCCCTACCAGAGGGGATGCATTACTGGACTTGTTGGTCACCAATGCAAGTGAGCTAATTGGTGACATCAAGATTGGAGGCAGCCTGGGCTGCAGTGATCGTGCACTGGTGGAGTTCACAGTCCTGAGGGATATGGGACAGGCAAAGAGTAAAGTCAGGACCCTGAATTTTAGGAAAGCAAACTTCCAGCTGTTCAAGGAGTTAATCAACAGGACCCCCTGGGAAATGGCCCTCAGGGACAAGGGAGCAGAACAGAGCTGGCAGATCTTCAAGGATGCTTTCCATAGAGTGCAAGAGCTCTCGATCCCCAGGTGTAAGAAATCAGGAAAGGAAGGCAAGAGACCAGCATGGCTGAGTCAAGACCTGCTGGTCAAACTAAAGGGCAAGA